AGGTGCGCAAGGAGTTGGACGAGAACACCCTCGCTAGCTACATCATCGAGGAGGAGTGTACGCTGGCGGCGGAGGGACGAAAGGACCAATTCCTTCCCCAGGCTAACCAGGTCTTTACCAAGAAGGGTAAGCCCCAATTCCAGCAGACTTCATTCCCTTCCCCTCCCACTACGGCACAGCAGCAGCAGCCTAAGAATGGGGGTGGGGCAGGTGGGGGAGGGGAGAAGTGGAAAGGGGGTAAGGATGGCCAGCCGAAGGGGGGGAAAGGGGGCTTCAAGGGAAAGTGCTATGTGTGTGGACAGACAGGGCATGTTGCTAAGTACTGTCAGCAGCGGGCGGATAAGGAGGCAGATGCTGGTGGAGAGGGTTCTGGAGGTAGCAGCGGAAAGGGGGGTGATGGCTCTAAGGGGAGCGGGCAGTCATCATGTGCGATGGTGAAGCCCGTTGTGGAGCAGACTCCTCTCGTTGTGCTGGAGCCTGAGGCCGGAGAAGGCTTACAGGCTGTTGCAGCTGCTGTAAAGGCGAACCCGAGTGTCGTGCTACTTGATAGCGGATGCTCCCACCATCTCATGGGAGATCGTTTTGCCTTTGTGGAGATGAGCAGCGGCGGCAGTATTAAACAGGTTACCGGCTTCAACGGCGCCCTTCAGGAGGTGCAGGGGCGAGGCACAGTCGCTCTTCTTGGAGAGGGCGGCAGGCGTGTCTTGGTGCCGGACGTGCTGTACGTACCAGGAGTGCAGGCGAGTCTTCTCTCTGCTGGGCAGCTGCGTGATAGTGGTGTGCAGCTGCTGGATGCCGGGGATGTGACTTTGCTGCGGGCACCAGATGGATCGCTCCTTGGTCGTGCGGAGTTCAAGGGGCGTGTTCTCTGCACGAACTTCCAGCTGTGTTCGACGCAGCAGCAGGAAGGCGAAACGGTGGCACTTCGTACCTTGGCGACGGGCGTGCGGTCTAAGGGGGACCTGTGGCATGCGCGTATGGCACACGTTGGTATTGATGCCATCGAGCGCACAGCGGCTCACGGGTCAGTGAAGGGCTTGGATTTGGAGAAGGGGGGCAAGTCAGGCATACCTTGTGTCTCCTGTGTTGGGGGAAAGATCACTCGTCATACCTTTCCTTCTGTGGGAGAGGAGGAGGATGAATTGCTCGGGGTGGTGCATGCTGACCTGTGTGGCCCTTTCCGTGAAGCAGCTAAGGATGGCAGCCGCTACTTCTTGGTGCTGAAGGATCGCAAGACGCGATATTTCTGGGCCTACCCTTTGGCCCAGAAGCGTGATGCGCTGGCGGCGTTCCAGAAATGGCTCCCGATGGCAGAGCGACAGTGCAAGACCACGGTGCAGGCGCTGCGCACTGATCGGGGTGGCAAATTCCTAGGGCACGACTTCACGCTCTTCCTCAACAGCAAAGGCATCATCCATGACCTCACATGCCCGTACACGCCGGAGCAGAACGGGATGGCCGAGAGGGAGATGCGCAGCATTGTGGAGGCGGTGCGGACGATGTTGCTGCACATGAGTGTGCAGCATCACTGGTGGCACCTGGCGTTGGCGCAGGCCGTCTGGGTGCGCAAACGCGTGGAGCACGCCTCACTACCCTCTGGTGTGACGCCGTATGAGCTCGCCTTCCGACGCAAACCTGATGTCAGTATGGTGCGTGTTTGGGGCTGCATGCTGCAGTACATGGTACCACAGTCGCAGCGTGGGGGGAAGCTGGCGCCTAAGGCTCGCTGGGGGTTGCACTTGGGTGTGTCAGCTGCGAGCAAGGGATGGACCGTGCTGGACTTGGAGTCCAACCGCCTCATCACCACTGTGGAAGCTGTGTTTTATGAGACCATGTCCCTGGCAGGATGGAAGGCTTGGCATCAGCAGGAGCATGGGGGGCGTTCGATGCCCTATACGCCCCTTCCCTCACTCTTCCCGATCACTCTCGAGGAGGCGGAGGAGGAGGAGGAGGTGGTCGCACCTCCTGCTATGCCCTATGTCCCTACCTCAGTCCCCACCCCACCTCCGCCTTCAGTCTACCCTCGTGTGATTCCCCCTGCCCCGCCTTCTTCCTCCTCACCCCCCTTGGCTTCCCCTCCTCCTCCTGTTATTCCATCTCCCCTTTCACCCTCCATCCCTCCTGCACCTGCTCCGCCCTCCTCTTCGTCTTCCACGGCGCCGCCCGTTGGTGAGGGGGGGATAGAGGTGCCACCGTCTGTGGAGATCACCGACGGGCAGTGCCCTGAGACTGAGCAGCTGCAGGACGAAAGCAGTATGGATGGAGTACAGCAGAGTGGGGGGCAGGAGATAGGGGAGCCGCAGACAGGGGAGCAGCAGATAGGGGAGGAGCGGATTGAGGAGCAGCAGATGGTGGACCAGTAGCTAGGGGAGCAGCAGACAGGGGAGCCGCAGACAGGGGAGCAGGAGATGTGGGGAATTAGAGATGGTGGTCGTGTGTTGGCCTCTGGGACGATCACTGCGCCACTGCGTCGCTCCACTCGCATCACTCGTGGTATCCCGCCTCTTAAGTATGCTTGGGCTTTAGTGGTTGAGCCAGCGGGATTGGATGACGAGGAGGAGGACGAGGAGTGGACAGACCTGGACCCTGGCGTGGTGGCTGACCCTGAGAGGCAGTGGGATATAGCGAAGATGACAGTGAAGGAGGCCTTAGGCTGCTGGAAGGGCGACAAGGTGAAGGAGGCGATGGATGAGGAGATGCGGAGCTTGATTGAGCAGGGGACGTGAAAGTTGGTTCCGCGTCCGCCAGGGGTGAATGTGATGAAGAACCGCTGGATTTTGAACACCAAGTTCCGACCGGATGGGATAGTGGAGCGTGAGAAGGCGAGGCTGGTGGTGAAGGGGTTCACGCAAGTGGCAGGGGTGGACTATGAGGAGACGTACGCCCCTGTGGGAAGCTATGTGACTGCACGTGTGCTTCTGGCAATTGCAGCTGCACTTGATTTGGACCTGATGCAGCTGGATGTGAAGAACGCGTTCCTCCATGGCATGCTGGACCGAGACCTTTACATGGAGCAGCCGAGCTACTACGAGGATGGGACTCCTCGTGTCTGTAAGTTGGTGAAGAGTCTGTATGGGCTCAAGCAGAGCCCGATGCTATGGTATGAGGCCTTGGATGGGGTGCTGCTTGGGGCTGGATGGAAGAAGAGCAAGGTGGATGAGGCTTTGTACTTCAAGAGTGATGCTGAGGGGGAGATGTGCTGGCTGCTGGTGTATGTGGATGACCTGCTTGCTGCCAGCCGCAGTCAAAGCATGCTAGGGGAGCTGCGTGACCTGCTGCAGAGTGCCTTTCAGCTGCGGGAGATTAGCCCCGTGGAGAAATATCTGGGGTTGCAGCTGATTCGGGATAGGCCTACGAGGAGGCTGTGGCTGCACCAGGGGGCCTATGTGGACAAGTTCCATAGGCGCTTCTTTGACGGGGATCAGCCGCTGCGAGTGCCTCGCACCCCTCTTTCCTCAGACCCTTTCAGTGTGCAGACCTTCGAGGATGTGGGATGGCAGTCTCGCCAGGAGGAGGAGTACAGGCAGAAGGTGGGATCCTTGCAGTTCGCGGCCTGTACCACCCGTCCCGACATCTCGTTCGCCTGCAGCAAGCTGGGGTCGGGCCAGACTGTGCGGAGTGATCAGCACTGGAAGGAGTTGGACCGGTGCTTGGCGTACTTGGTGGGGAGCAGGGATGTGGCACTGGAGTTTGGTGGGGGGCCGGAGTCCTTGGAGCTGGTGGGCTACGCCGATGCTGATGATGCGGGAGACAAGCAGAACAGGACCAGCACTGGTGGCTACATCTTCGTGCTCGGGGGTGCTGCTGTCTCTTGGGCGAGCCAGAGGATTCGTTGCGCCACCCTCTCCTCCACTGAGTCTGAGTATGTTGCTGCTGTGGAGGCTGGGAAGGAGGCGCGCAGGCTGCGCTTCCTGCTGGCAGAGTTTCAACTGCTATGGAGTGAGGAGCCCACTACTCTCTTTGTGGACAACTCCTCTGCCATTTCAGTGGCAGGTGGCATGGGGCTCAAGGGGAGCCTCAAGCACATGGAGCGTCGTCACATGTGGCTGCAGCACATGGTCAAGCGCAGGAAGCTGCAGCTGCAGTACATCCCTACGAGCGAGCAGCCTGCTGACTACCTCACGAAGGCATTGCATTTCCCCGCCTTCAGTCGTTGCTTCGAGGCTACGAGGCAGGTGAGGCTCTCGAGCGAGGGGAGTGAGACCTAGACACTCCATGATGTGGTTGGTGCCATGGCCTATCCATGGCTGGTGCGGTGCGTGTTTGCACTTTGAGAGTGCTTCGTTTGTGTGTGTGTCCCTTTTTTTTCTTTTGGTGTGTATGCGTGTATGCATGCCCTGTGATTATGCAACTCGTATGGCAGGGGAGTGTTAGAGGGCCCTACGACAGCAAGGGCCCTCGACGACTTGGCAAGACAACTACGCTAAGACGAGCATGGAGTGACACCAACACAAGGAGTGCGTTGATGTCGCGCGACTACTGCAGTGCCAATGAAGTCCGTGCTGGGGTGCTGCTGGTCTAGTAAAGTCTTGGGCACGCTTCTTGGGAAGCGTGCCACTTCCTAGCAAGTCTATGGTTGTCTTGTGTGGTGTTGTCTAGTTGGAGTTGGTTGGTTGGGGTGGCGTGCGAGAAGGGCCATTCCGCTGCTGAGTTGGGTTGAACTCCTACAAGGCGCGTTCAACACACATGCACACCACTTTCGTGAGGTTGGGTTACTGCGCAGTGCCACGCCAACTTTGTGAAACCTTCCCGTAGCCTATATCTAGTTGTGTGTTTGCTTTTTATGCATAGTTGATATTGCAAATCTACTTTGCCCAAATGCTACTTCAATCCTCACCAAGTCCTTAGAGGCAAACTCTACCGAAAATCTACCAAGTTGCTTGCGCAACATCATTCTCATAGCAGAAACTCTCTCGTTATCGCTACGCTCTCTAATATATTCCTTCAAGTACTACTTCCCAAATCCGACGCTCCGACGCTCTCTAAAATTGCACGTTACCATGGCCACTCTTCGCACCGTGTTCATCCTTGCTCTGATCCTCGCGACACTTCCTGCGCTCTACGCCGCGGCCTCGCCAAAGCGGGGTGACGTCGCTACCGCGGACGCGGCGAGTTGGGGTCGCAAGCTGCTGGAAGCGAGCGGCGGTGACCTGGACGTGGACCAGCAGGGTGGCGAGGAGGAGGAGATGGGGGAGGTGACGGACGGGCTGGACGAGGCGGTGCGGGTGCTGCTGAGCTGGAAGCAGATCAAGAACGCGGCGAATCAGGCGGCGAAGAGCGAGGCGGGGCAGAAGACGGGAGGGTTGGCGAAGAATGTGGTGAAGAAGGGTGGCAAGGACGCGCTCACAGCGGCGTTCAACGCGTTCCGCAGCGGCAAGGGCGCCAAGGGTGCCCTGCAGGCGGGCGCTGGCTCGTTCGTGAAGACCGCGAAAACGATGATTTAAGGGGGAGAGGGGAGATGGGAGGGGTGAGAGGCATGGCGGTTGGAGTTGGGCAGCGGCAGGCAGGGTAGCAGCGCAGCTGGTATGGTGCCTGCTGCTGCTGGTAGCAGCTCGGTGAAGTGGGGTTCTGCAGTGGCAGACAAGGTCTGCTCCTGCTGCTCCATAAGCTCACTCCATAAGCTGCTCCTGCTGCTGCTGTTGCCTCCACTGCTGTCGGTGCTTCTGCTGGTGCTGCGGAAGTCTCTGCTGTCGATGCTGATGCTGCGGAAGTCTCTGCTGTCGATGCTGGTGCTGCTGCAGCTGCAGCTAATGTTGCTTGCAGAATTGGTTGTTTAGAACGGTAGTTCCGTCCTGGTGATGCTTCTGGAAGAGGTATGTGTGTGGGGGGGTGGAAGGGCTAGGTGGTGTGTGCGGGTGAAAGTCTTAGGTTGGCGTGTGTGCTGTGCAGGGTTGGTAGTGGAACTGGGTGCTCCTTTGGTTCTTCTTCTGTAATCGTAAATATATCTGCTGCTACCATGCATTTGCTGAAGGCGTTGACAGTTAGTATGGGGTCGTGAAAAGAAAGTTGCTCTTCTGAATCTGAATTTGAGATACATCAGGCACTCGCCATACGCACTGCGCACTCACCACACACGCCAGGCACTTACCACACATGCCACAGCTCGCTCACTGTCTGTCCTGGATACGCGCACACCGTCAGTTGAGGTGAAGAGTGGCAGGAAAGAATTCAGGCTCCAGATAACGATATTAACGCTGGTCGCCTTGAGAGCAAGTGGGAGGTGCTGTGGTTCTGTAGCTTCCAGTTGCACCCCGCGTCAGGCGCACATACCTGGTGCTGCCGTACCGTCATCGCCCGGATAGTAGACAGTGTTGAATAGTAGACAGGGGTTGTCTATTATCCGGGTGTCTCTTATAAACAGGCTAGCCTCATTATAAGACACCTATTTGTGTGTACGAGATAAGACATATGTGTCGTATGATCGAAACTGCAATATATTATAGTGAAACTTGAAATGCCGCGTACATTTTTTCCCTTGCGATGCGCGAATTCTTCCACGTCCTGACTCAGGTACTACCGTATTACCCCGGATAGTAGCGCATATGCGCTTATAATAAAATCAGTTTTTTAAGGGGGGCGCTTGTAATTGAATATCGGCCATAAGCGCCGGCGCTTATACAACGACAAATACAGAAATACAACTAACGCACCAAATTGTACATTTCAGTCTCGTAAGTTGAATCGAATAAAAAATTTACAGGGTCTAGAATCAGAATCGCGCGAGGGCGATTTTCTGACGGTGCACAGGGCTTTGGCACGTCATTTTGCCCGCGTGCCAACTCATACTGACTGGACGTGCAACCAGTAGGTCCTCGAAAGTTAAGCAAAGTGGAAATGGGGGTGTTGACTCGCTAGAAATTTGAAATTCGTTACCGTTTTAATCAGCATTGAAAAATAAATTTTGCATGCGCTTATAATATGTCAGTGTTTTACAGGGGGGGCGCTTATAATCGAATTCCGGCCATAAGCGCCATGCTCCAGATAGAAGCGCCGGCGCCTTTAATCGGACGGCGCCTATATCCGGGGCCATACGGTACCAAGTTTGCCTCTGCAAGTATTTTCCATGACGTGGCTTCCCGAACAATGGTTGCCGAAGTGGCACCTTTGCAACATCCACACTCATTATTGTTGGAAACAAATAGTTACCGCTTCTGAAGTATCGAAGTAATAAACACAAACGAAGCAGACTACAGTGAAGCAACGCGCGAGTCAACCAATGAGGTTAAAACGTAACAGCTGGAGGTTACGCGAAGGTCAAAGGTCGCTGACATTTGACTCGACGAAATACAGTGCGACAGCAAGGACAAACAACTGACTTGGTATTGAGCAGTTGCCCGAGTCGTCACTGTATCGAACCGCAACAGCAAAAACAGTTAATCGCACCTCTTCGTATTCCTTGTAATCATATATATATTCTTGTATCTCTTTGCTTTAATCAATTCATCTTGCTCTCACATACTAGTGCAAGGTGGTTCAACAGCTCAACAACTTTATTATACGCTTCCGCAAATTACAACATTTCTACTCCAGATCTTTACCTTGAAAAGATCCTAAGGGCTTTTTCAGCCCAACATGGTATGAGAGCCTCCAAGGCAAAATCGACTCCTCAAACTCCTACAACATCACAAGGCATGGCAACTCAGAAGGAGAGGAGTTCCTCCAACGGATCTCCCGGCACTACTCCTACTCCACCTCCAGCCTCTGGTCTACAGACAGAGGAAGCCACAGTAACAAGACCAGCTGCGGAGTCTACCGAAACCCCCGGGAATCAAACAACATGCCTCGACCCAAACATGATGGAGAAGTTCTTCTCCTTTATGTCCTTCTACGAGCAGCACCAGCAAGCAGCACCTCCGCAATCAAACAACAACGACAACAACAATGGGGTTACTCCAATGAGCCTTGACGGTTCATCCTATGCGCGCGGAAACAAGCAGCAATCTACCTTTGCCCCATACGAACCTCAACGTGGCTCCATCAGCTCCATGCCACACCAACAAGCTTCACCTGGACAAGAGAAGACACTGGACGCGCTTCAGGTCCAATCACAGTTTGCACACGTTTTGAAACTGCAGACATCGACACCTTTTGACGGAAAAGACTTCTATACCTGGTCACTCGAGTTCGAGCTGATGTTGGAGGGCGCACAGATTCTCGGATTCTTCGACGGATCCCTGCCATGCCCAATACACGGGATGCAGTACGTGTCAGAATGTTATCTTATGCTCTAGCCTGTAGTGGGGTGCTCTATAGCGAGTACAACCCTTCTAGGGTTTGCTATTTGTATCCCCATTCTTGCTAGTGCACCCCTCCTTCCCTCTTCTTTCTTCTAAACTTTTCACATGCTATCAGAGCAGGTCGATCCCCTTGGATCGATCCTGTGGGTGGGCTCACCACCTTGTTGCTTCCGCTGCAACTGCTACTGCTACTCTCTGTGCCGCACGCCCCGTGGCGTGCGGCAGTTTTTCTTCCCGCCGTGCGCCCCGAGGCGCGCGGCGGTTTTCTGCCCGCCGTGCGCCCCGAGGCGCGCGGCGGTTTTCTGCCCGCCGTGCGCCCCGAGGCGCGCGGCGGTTCTCTGCCCGCCGTGCGCCCCGAGGCGCGCGGCGGTTCTCTGCCCGCTGTGCGCCCCGAGGCGCGCGGCGGGCTTCGGCCCCGTCAACCGTCGCGTCGCCCTCGGGAGGCGCCGCGACGGGCGACGGGGACCCGTTCGTCGCCCCCCGTCGCCCGTCGTGGCCTGCGCGCGGCCCGTACAGGCAGCGCGCGACCCGTACGGGCTGCGCCAGGCCCGCGCGCCACCCGTACGGGCTGCGCCAGGCCCGCGCGCGGCCCGTACGGGCTGCGCCAGGCCCGCGCGCGGCCCGTACGGGCGGCGCCAGGCCCGCGCGCGGCTCGGGCCGCCTGCGCGCGGCTCGGGCGTCTCTACCAGGCCCGTGGTGGGCTCGTTCCTCGCTGCCCCTGCCCTCCTCGCTGTCCCCCAGTGCTTCTACTGGCGCCCCACCCCTCCTACTCCCCATTCTCCTGAATTAGGGTTTGGGGGTGAGGGGTATGGGGGTGACTTCACTCTGTACCGTTCCCTGCTCTTCCTCCTCCTCCGTCTCCTTGTGCTGCAGCTGCCGCTGAGGGGGGGTGGACGTGTTGGAGCCGGTGGAGTGGTACTAAGGGGGGGTGAAAGGGGAGTGGAGCTAGCGGTGTAGCAGCGGGTGTGTGTCGGGGGGGTGAGACTGTTTGGGGAAGTTGCACGGAGGTTGCCGTCGTGTCGCCAGCAGCACCTGTAGTCCGGGGACTTCGTCCGGTAGCCCAGTCGTAGACTTCTACGCCAGCCGCCCGTGGGTCCGTTGCTCGTCTGCCGCTACTTTAGCCGCGGGGCCTGTTACTCCTGTAGTCCGGGCGCTTAGTCCGGTAGCCGCTGTGCCAGTCTGCCTCCTGTTGCCCGTGTGTCTGCAGCTTCAGCCGTCGCCTCCTATCTCCTCTCACCTCACTCTCTCTCCTCCTCCTCGCTTGCCCGTTGTGACTACCACTAGCTTTGCTCATAATTGTACCCTTTAAACTATTCCTTCTTGAACTTGTGCTCAGAATGTGTGGTGACATTGTGATCCACCCTGAGCTTGTACTGCTTTTCTTGCTCTGCTGATTACACCCCACTTTGGCTATGGGGGTGTGTCAGAATGTTATCTTATGCTCTAGCCTGTAGTGGGGTGCTCTATAGCGAGTACAACCCTTCTAGGGTTTGCTATTTGTATCCCCATTCTTGCTAGTGCACCCCTCCTTCCCTCTTCTTTCTTCTAAACTTTTCACAGTACGACAAGCAGCAGTACACATATCAGTCGCTGATGGCGTACACAATACTTCTACGAAATATAACGCCAAACGAGCAGCATAACATTTGGTCTTATCGAGGGTACGGTAACTCCGCCGAGCTCGCGTACGACCACATGAAAAACCTGTATCAAGCAACAGACAATGTTAATCAAAGTCGTCTTATGGCGCAGCTAACAACAGTGGAAATGAAACCCGGCGAAAAGGGGATGGCGTATATCAGCCGTTGTCGTGGACTGCGCGACAGACTCCTTCGATGTGGAGGATCGATATCCGAAGAAGCCTTCGTGACAGTTGTCATCTCTGGACTCGGTCCTCATTGGCGCTCCACTCGAGCTATTCTCCGACCTCACGGAAAGATCTCCGAAGCGGCACTCTACGCCGAAATTCACGCCGAACAGCAGGACATGGACCTACACGAACAACGACACACGAAGAGAGCGTCAGCACCAGAGTTCACGTTTCACACTCAACAGCGCTACAACAACAACAACAATCGACATCAAACTCAACAGTACGTACCACCGTTCTGCCATCTCTGCAAGACGTCAGGACACCCTCGAACTCACTGCCTGAATCAACAGCAGTCAACATCGCCGCAACGTAAACTTCTGCCCTCAAGCAGTCAAGTGGCTTCTACACATGCACATCCCACCACTCAAGTACAGTCCTCAACGACATCGACCACAACACCTGCACAAGGTACAAGAAACATTGTGAGCTGCATGAAAAGAACGACAGACTCCTGCATCACCGGATCGCCACCATAATACTCACCAGAAGAACAACTCGACCGAAGCATCCCACGCCGAGAATTACTGGAGCCTAACCCGACGTATGCAGCCATCGCCCAGAGCGAGCCATCCAAAAAAGATACCTGGTTCTTGGACAGTTGCTACGGACAGCATATGTGCTCCTCGGGTCGCTTCGTTCAACAGGAACACCAACTTCAGCGCGAAGTCGTAATCACCGTCGCCAACAACCAAAACCTGCACACACGACGACAGGGGATTGTTCAACTTCAATCTCGAGAAACCAACGTTATTCTGCAAATGTCGAAGGTCTTAATCGCAGAAGGACTC